GCGCCGGGGCCGCCCGCTGCTGTCCTGGCAGTTGGGGTGCAAAGTGCCTGCAGGGGAGACGAACCGGGGAGGAAATGGGTCAGGGAGGGTACATCATGCCCCGATGCCTGTAGGGGGCGCTTGGGGGGCCAGGGGCGGAGCCCAACCCGTGGCACACTGTGCCACCCCTCGGGGCGCCCCGTGAGCATCCATGTGACCCACACGCCCCTAGAAACAGCGCAGGGCCCTGGGTCAAAGTGGGGGTCGCTGATTGAATCTCCCAGGAGTCCCGGCAGCCAAACCTGGCTTGGGCGCCCCGCCCCAAGCAGGAAGAGATTCCACAAATTCAGCTCTCATTGGCCACCAAAAGTCGCCCTCCCGTGGCAACGGCTTTTGGTTACCACGCCAACCCACCCGGGCCCTGGTCCAGCCCCAGTTCTCCCCTCCCCGCTGTCCCGTGCGCGTGGCGAGTAAAGAGAGAGCGGGGAACCTGGCCCCCCACCTACCGGAGAAGGTCCCTGAGAAGACCCCAGGTGCGTGGTTAACGAAGCTCTCGATGACGGCGCCGGGTTTGCGGGACTGGGCTGCTGCTGGCGGAGTTGTTGCTCCGGGAGCTACAGTCCACCTGGCAAGGGCAGGAGAGAGACATTGATGTCCACAGACCTCAAAGCACTTCACAAAGGAGGGCAGCGTCCCTGTTCCCATTTTAAAAGTTGGGGAAACTGAGGCAGTGAAGCAACTTGCGCACGCAGTGGCAACAGAAGCCAGGTCTTCGCATGCCATTCCAGGGCTCTATCACTTGCCGCTCTATTCTGCACTAGTTAGGCCTCAGCTGGAGTACTGTGTCCAGTTCTGGGCGCCACATTTCAAGAAAGATGTGGAGAAATTGGAAAGGGTACAGAGAAGAGCGACAAGAATGATTAAAGGTTTAGAGAACATGACCTATGAAGCCAGGCTTCATGAACTGGGCTTGTTTAGTTTGGAAAAAAGAAGATTAAGGGGGGACATGATAGCGGTTTTCAAATATCTAAAAGGGTGTCACAAGGAGGAAGGCGAAAATTTGTTCCTCTTGGTTTCTGAGGACAGGACAAGGAGTAATGGGCTTAAAGTGCAGCAGGGGAGGTTTAGATTGGACATTAGGAAAAAATTCCTAACTGTCAGGGTGGTCAAATATTGGAATAAATTGCCAAGGGAGGTGGTGGAATCTCCCTCTCTGGAGATATTTAAGAACAGGTTAGATAGACATCTGTCAGGGATGGTGTAGACGGAGCTTGATCCTGCCTTGAGGGCGGGGGGCTGGACTCGATGACCTCTCGAGGTCCCTTCCAGTCCTATTATTCTATGATTCTATGATTCTATCACGCAGGCACCAAAAGCAGTATCGCTAGCAACACCTGAAATCAGCCAAGTCTCAAACCCCAACGTGAGGGCCTAGCCCCATTCAAAACCATTCACAGGGCAATTTTAATGCTACCATCTGCCCTATGTTTGGGTGTCGAGGGAGGGAGGCCCAACAGTTAGGGCACCAACAGAACTGGGCTCTACCATGGCACCTCGAGTGAATTGCAGCCCTTGATCTGTGCCTCGGTTTAGCCCCATTTCACAGACAGGTAATGCGGATGCCTGCCTCTGGGAAATGCCGGGCAATGGAAGATGCCAACCAAGGACCTGATCAACAGGGATCCTATTGTGAGCCCAGAAGGCAGCTGGGCATTTCCGCCTGGGGTTGTCCTTGGGTTGGAGGCATTTCGCAGTTCAAGAGCAGGAGGAAATGCACAGACCAGACATCTTCTCTCCTGCAGGGAAACCCACCCCCCGCCACCCCCTGCCAAATCCAGAGCAGGAGACCTTGGCCTTGAAAAATAAGAATATGAGGCCTTGTCTGGCAGCCGTCACCTCAGGATCTGGTGGCATTTGGAACCCTTTAGCACAGCCGCACAAGCAGACGGGGGAAACCGAGGCACGGAGCAGGGAGGGGACCTGTCAGTCAAACCCAGAACACACAGGAGGGGAAAATAGACAAGGTCTTGTCCTAACCCTTCCAGAGCCAGGAGTCCTGACATCAGCTCCTTCCTTGCTCACCAACAGCCGGGCTGACAGCTGGAAGGGGCGGAGCCTCCAGCAGAAGGGGGTGTGGCCCCCAGCCCTCTGAGCCCAGCAGAGCAGTGCTCCGGCAGCAACTCAAGAGGGGCCCAGGGCGCCGGCTGTCGCCACTTTCGATCGCCCCTTTGGCCCCGCCCCCCAGAGACGCCCTTTTAAAGCCGGACTCACCTCTGAGCAAGACGAGACGACGCTGCTGTTAACCGTTTGCGCGCTGGCCCCGTGTGACCGGAACATCCCCGCCGTGACGGGGGCAGGGTGGGCAGTGTTACAGGACAT